GCTTAACACTGTGCCTGGCATATAAAAGAAGCTTAAAAAAATGTTTACTGACTGAATGATCCCCACAACTCTGTGAGGTAGGTGTTATTATTATCACCCCCGTTTTACAGATGAGGCAACTGAGGTTGAGAGGTTAAGTGATTAATCAAAGGTCATGCAGCTAGTAAGTGTCTGAGACCAGATCTGAACTTAGGTCTTTCTGATTTCAACTCTGAGACTCCGCACTGTGCCACTTAGTTGCTACCTGTTATTAGGGAGTGTCTCTAGATACATATCCTTGGACAATAGCACTGATCATGTCAGTGAGACACACAGTTGTCTTGGTACCACTGAATAAAGAATCTCTATTTGCTTGCCTCTTTTTTCCATGACTAGTAATGGATAGCCTCTTCCCTAATGGCACCTGTGGCTCATCATCAATCCTTGGAACATGGAAAATTCCTTCTCAAACCTGCTTTAGATTTGCAAAAGTTCAGTGGTCCTTCTTCCTTTCCTTTTCTGCCACATTCCTTTAAAAGGAAGATCAAACTGAAATTTACGCATATCTAGTTATTACTTAGGGTAGTTAGGTGGTGCAGTGGATAGACTGTCAGTCCTGGAGTCAGGAAGAATATCTTCCTGAGCGCAAATCTGGCCTCAGGCACTTACTAGCTGAGTGACTCTGAGCAAGTCATTTAACCCTATTTGCCTGTTTCCTCATCTGTAAAATGAGCTGGAGAAGGAAATGGCAAATCACTCCAGTATCTTTGCCAAGAAAACCCCAAGGAGGGTCAAGAAGAATCGGACATGACTAAAAACGACCAAACAACAACAATAATTAGTACCTGGTACTAACAGAAATAAAGAGTACATTCTCACAAATGCCTGACATGACTATCCTAACCACTAGGCAGCTAGGCAATGCAGTGATAAAGAACTGGACCTCAAGTCATGAAGATCTGTCTCAAGACACTAATTAGCTTGATAGACCTTGAACAAGTCACTTAACCTCCTTTTGCCTCAGTTTCTTCATCCATGAGATGGAGATAATACTATCTACCTCCCAGGGTTATTATGAGGATAAATGAGAAATCTATAAAGTACTCTGCAAACCTTAAAGAGCTATGCAAATGCTATTATTATTACTAGTCCAGTGTGCTTTTACTATACCTTCTTTCCTTAGTAATTTAATGTAAAAACTAGAAAGATTTTCCCAGTTTCACGTCTACATAAAACTGCTACAGGTCTAATTTAATTCTCATCTCTCATCTTAAAACAGAGAACAGCTGCTTAATGTCATCATATCTTCATATATTTAAGGACTAAAGTAACTATAGCCTTCTTGACAAGATATTCTGAATAATGTCGCTGGGGAAATGTTATATTTGGATATGCCCCAATTATGCAGCAATTTCTTTGGGTACAGAAAATCTGAAAACAGATTCTGGCTCTTTTCTGTTATATTCCTAGTATTCTGTAATCAGTTCCTCCTACTATAATAATACTTTAAATTATCCTCAATTTATTATGATCATTAGCCTATTATAAGTGTGCTCTGTAGAATGACTCTATAACATAATGTTTTCAAATCATAACTTTACATTTTCATGATTTAAAAATCCTTTCTGTATTCATTTTACGTTGCTGACTTGTTAACATCTATTTTGCTCTTTATATAAAAAAGGGAAACAAATGTTAAGTATAGGCAAAAATTAATTTGTCAACTGTAACATATAGAAACTAGAAATATGCAGTATTCCCAAAGAAGATGAAGTATTTTTCCTTTCTTAAAATAAATTACTGTTCAAATTAATGCCAGACTTGAGTAAATAATCAGATGATGAAAGTTAACATTTGGTTACAAAAGCATTTCATTAAAACAATCTTGTTCATCTGTCTTCATGTAGTTTTGGATTACTCCCATCTAAACCAGATGCTCTATTACATTCCTTTCCATTTATAGGCCAATCTTTTTTCTGTACCTAAGACAATCACATTAAAAATTACATTATCTATTACTGAAACAGAATGAATTCTAATCTCAACTATATCAATGCACATGAGTCTCACTTTTAAATGTAACACATTCTTTTTCCTGCCAACAAGATAAATATCTGTACCTGTCTCAATCTCTGGTACTACTAATAGTTGTGCCTTTTTCACATGAAATTTAATTATCACTATTATAATATTAATAAACACCAAAATGGGATAGATACAGGGAAACAGGAAAAGGACTGTCACTGAACCACACAGACAAAAAAAGACTTTCTTGAATTCCATTTCTAGTTGATTTTTAACAAATATAGCCTGAATTCACCAAACATTTAAGTACTTTCTACATGCAATGTAGTGGATTAAGCAATGGCATTTCACATCCTATTTAGGGATGTTATCTAAAAAAATTTTAAAGGGAATACTGGATCAGAATACTTAGTTTCCTGAGATTTAAAAATTTTTTCCTTTGCATTCTGTGATTTTTTTTTAAGTATCGAGAATAAATTGGAAAAGCACAGAACAAGTTACCCTTCTTCATCATATGAATATATGTAATTAGTGAAACTTCAAATGTCAATTTAAAAAAATGGTTATTTATAAACAATTTAAAACACTCAAATAAAACATTAAAGCTACCACTAAAGATAGGTGTTTTGGTAGATGTAAAGTACAAAGATCAATGTGCCAAGGATCACACTGTATCATGAGGATACAGAAACAAAATGAAAATGACCTTCCTTTTTCTTTTTTAAGGCAATTTTAGGCAATTGGGGTTAAGTGACTTGCCCAGGGTGACACAGCTATTAAGTGTCAAGTGTATGGTCTGAGACTGGATTTGAACTCAGGTCCTTCTGGCTCCAGGGCCACTATCCACTATGCCACGTAGCTGTTCCCTGACCCTGCCTTCTAAGGAACTTATGTTTTATTAGAGAAAAAAAATAACATGTACATATAAAAATAAATACAAAGTAATGTAGATGATGATGATGCCTGACCTGAGCTTTGAAGCAAAGAATACTCCACAAAACAGAAGTGAGGAGATCGTGTGTTCCTAACATGGGGGTCAGTCAGTGCAAAGGCTTAGAGACAGGAGATGGACTGTTGTATATGAGGAACAATGGTAACAAGTCCAGTTTGCCTGGACCAAAAAGTACATTAAATAAAGAAAGATATATTTTGAGTATGGATCAGAAAAGCCTTAAATGATAACCAAAAGAGTTTGTATTTGATCCTAGAGGTAACAGGGAACCACTGAAGTTTATCGAATAGACGATGGTACCTACATGTCTCTAAGCAGTGATAGCTTTCCCCTATTATCTACCAGATTTTAGGAATGAAGAAAAAAGGCAGTAAGGGAGGATATAATGAATAATAATTACAGATATTAATTTGTACAACAAGTATTTATTATCCCCTCAAAAGGCAAAAGCTGTTTCATTTTTTCCTTTGCATCCACAGTGTTTGGCACAAAGTAGGTGCTTAATAAATGCTCGTTGATTTATTGATTCAAGACACTACTCAACACTACAAAATATACAAGGATGAATATGCCAGTCTTCACTTTTATGGAGCTTAGAATTTAATAGTCTTCCAAATCCTCAGTGAATGAAGAAAATAGAAACCAGATTATAGCAGAGAGAAAAAAGTAAAAGCAGCAATTGTTTACACTATATTTAAGAACGTAAAGGGGAAGACATGGGAGAAAAACAGAACTATTAGCAGAGCATCCCTGCTCTAATACCATTATCTCCAAAAAGATCGTGAAAGGCCAGGATATTAAGCCAAATTTAATACAATGGAATTTAAGAGGGATAAACGTAGTTTTACACTTGAGTTCACAAGCTCAATTTCATAAGTACAATAGAGGAGAGGTGAGGGAGGAAGCAGTTCATCTAAAAAAGATATGGAAGTTGGTAGTGGCCTACAAAATCAACGTAGGTCTGTAGATTTCAAGCAATATGAAGTAACTGTGAGATAGCCAAAAAAGCTAAAGATATCATGAGTGCTATAGGAAGAGAGGCCCAGTGTCCAGGGCAAGGGGATGTAGTCCTGGCAGACTGCATTGAGAGCACATGCTTAGTTCTGGGTCATGTATTTTAAGAAGACACTGATAAAACTTCACAAGGCAACCATAATGAGAAAAGCTTTCAAGATCATGCCATAAAATGATCACCTGAAGGAACTGGGAAAGCTTAACCTAGAGATGAAAAAATTTAGGAGGAACTATATTACCTTTTTAGGTATATGCTAGAGTAGGAGGTTACTGAGGTCCCTTTCAAATACCATAAACTCAAAATTTGGTCCTTCTATAAATAACTATCTTCATATATTTGAAGGGCTGTAATGGGAAGGAGGGAAGAATTAGGAGAAATGGGTAGACATTTCAAAGAGGCTCTGAATTCTACAATCCTAGATTATGATATTATTACCTTGCTCAAGAATTTGCGTTGGCTTTGCAATGATATCAAGTACAAACACCTTAACCAAATATTTAAGGCCCTCTATAGACTGGACACAATCTAACTTTTCCAATTTTATTTCCCAGTAATTCCCAAGATGGACTCTATCTATATTTCAGCAAAGTCTGTCTCCTTATTACCCATCAAAACATCATACTAATTTCCAACTCCAAAACTTTGCTCATTGGTGCCTCCTTCACCTGGAAAGCCTTTCTTTCTCCCCTTTGCAAACCCAAATCCAACCTACTTTAAAATAACTTCTGTGGCTCACCCAGTTCACAATATTCTTACTCAGTCCTGAAATTCTACGTTATTTATTGTTAACTGTTTCATGCCTATCTTATTTCCCCAATTAAACAGTAAATTCATGGAAGGCAAATATCTAGAACACTTTTACAAAGATTCTAAGCTGCTCGAAATACATGTTGTATGAAAAATTTTCAAATAACTACTAAAAAAATCACTGAAGATTATTTATTTGTATGCACATGGAATAGAAAAGTAAACTACTCTAGTAATTGTTTATGAAATTTAAATAATTTTAAGCATTAAATTAATACATACCCTCTTTGAAACAAATCAACATTGTAGAACTTGTGTAGCTCCACAGAGAATTCTACCATTGCTTGGACTTCAGTCATTTTTAACTTTACACACAGAAGATAAAGCTAGAAATGTCACTAGTTAATAAAGAAAAAAAAGTTAATGAGAAATGGGGAAGAAAATCAACTTAAAAACACCTTGTTTTCAAATATTTGTTACATAAAAGAAATATGATCTATAGACATAAAATAAAAACTAAATAAAAGAATGCTAAGCCTCCAGCTCAATTTAACCAAATGCCACCAGAAAATTAAATATTTCTTTGTGTGTTCTCAAATATTGTGAACATACAAAAATATTTTCTTTAATCTCATATATTAATACATAGACACAGCAAACCATTAGTAAAAGTTCAAGACTGAGTCTGTCTTCTAATAGTAGCATCCTTAAAAATTTCAATTTACATTTTATTAAAACAAACTACCCATTACTCCCTTTTCAACTCTGTTATACACACAAACAGATCCCAAGATTAAGTGAAGAGACGTTATTTCATCTCCACAAATTTATAGAGTTTACTTCTAAGGGGCAGCAATTTTTAATTGATAATTTTAAAGACAAAATTAATTTTAAAAGTTAGAATGAGAAAACAATATCCTGAGAGGCACTGTTCTATATGAACTGTGTTCAAGAGAAATATTTCATTCTTACCTCTTCTGATCAAAACTTCATCCTAATATATGAATTAGAGAATCTTTTCCTTCCAGTTATTTACTCTTGTTAAAAGTACATTCTTTCCTATAAAAAGGAGAGAAATTACAAATAGTGATGGTACGAAAAAAATTGCTTTAAAGCACAGTTATGTCATGTGTATATGTATATATTGTATGTATGTATTCTATAGGACTTTAGCCAAAATTTTTATAGAAAAGACATTGCCCCTGCATATCACTATTTTCATTATCAACTACCACATCTCTGCAAAGCAGAACACAAGACCTGGCAGCTTCAAGGACCATCTCGGCTGAGTTCTGGGAGGCTTATCATCAGATTAAAATTTTCAGCTATACCATCTCTCAAAGGCCACTTACTAAAACCAAGAGAGTGCTGGCAAGCTACACTGGTAGAGGGAAAATTCATTTTGAAAAACATCCCAGCTCCTTGAAATATTAAAGTATCTCTACTAAGGGCCCACTTCTTTTTATTTCAAGGAATATGAGGCAAGGATTCTCTGATGTATTCAGTTTGGAAATCTGTGCCCACCCTGAAGCAAGAGAATGTTGGCTCATCTTTAAAATGGAAAATGAAGAATTTACCTTTTTACACAGAACCACTCAAAGACCAGGATAACATGATATGCATGATATTTGTGCTTCTAATTTTCATTTTTATATTGCTGTTAAACATTTTAAAATATTTTGGTAAAAAGAAGTTACCTGAGAATACCTGATGGTCAATCTTAAATTTCATATACTGTTTCTAGGCAGAAATTATCTTTAATCCTTAAAGTAAACAACTTCAGGAATTAGAAATGTCAGAATAGAAAGGCTCAATTAAATCTTCATCTCACAGAAAGTCTTCCTTATCTCCATCATAAATATGTTTATTCAATCAGGTCCTCTACTTCAGAAGCCCACCTTTATCAATAATAAAATAACTTACCTCTATAGGGTTTTAAAATTTTCAAACTGACACACACATTACTTCATATGATTCTTGCCAAAGCTTTATAAGGTATGCAAATTAAGGCATTATTACCCTCATTCTATAGATAAAGATCTGAGGCTCCTAAATTAAATGTTCAGATTCACACAACAAATAAATGTCATAACTGAAATTTGAACTCGGGTCTCTCCTAACACCAAGGACCCATGTTCTTTCTACTACACCATGCTGCTTGCTCTACAGCAGCCAAAAGATGTCTGAGGAAAGTAACCTTAGGCAGGCAACCTTTCTTACATTCCTTGTCTCAGAAGCCCAACTCCCTCAATCAAGTATCAAAGGACACTTTGGGAAGAAAATTTAGAAAGGCACAGAACATGTTCATTTTATAACATGAACACTTTCTAAGTCCTGCATGAAAATAGCAAAGGGCATTAATCTACCTCCTGTTGTACTAGTTTTCCAAACCTGGTAATCTGGTTGGAGAAGCAAATGACATGCCTATACTACTTTTTCCAGAAGCATCATTTTTATTCTAAGTACTCTAATATTTTCTCCCCAGGTCCACTGTAGCCCTATACACCCATTACTTAGCCCATTCCACTGTGCCCTTTGAAATTCTTATTCTACCATCAACAAACTCTACTTACCCTTATGGTTTCAACTACCATTTCATAATATGGTACAGTAGATACAAAGCTGGACCTGGAGGTCAGGAGGACCTAAATTTAAATCCCGTCTCAGACACTTACTATATGGAAGTTCAGGCCAACTCACTTAACATCTGTTTGTCTCAGTTTCTCCCACTGTAAAATGAAGATAACAGTACTTCTCAGGTACTCGCCAATCCTCCCTCTAGGGCTGTCACGAGGACCGAAAGCCTGGCACATAGTAGGTGCTATATAAAAATGCTTCTTCCTTCTATCTACTATGTGCCAGGTACACTGCTTCAGTGATGAGGTTACAAAAATAAAAGTCAGTCAGTACTCACTTTAAAGGAGCTTACATTCTACTGGTGGAGGAATACCAAAATGTTCACAGAGAAATAAATACAAAATATCTTTGAAATAAGTACAGAACAACTGGGGATGTAGGAGGGAATTTCAAGGAAATTCCTTGAAGGTGACATCTGAGGTGAGCCTTGTAGGGAACCAGGAGTTTTAAGATGCTAAGGTGAGAAGAGACAGCATTCTAGTCAAGAGGGATAGCCTTTGCAAAGGCACGGAGATGGAAAGAATGACACGTTTGGGGAACAGCAAGAGGCCAGTTTGGCTGTAGCATAAAGTACATGAAGGAGAGTAATTTATAACCTGCCTGGCAAGATAGGCTGAAACTGGTCTTTAAAAGCCAAATGTGGGATTACTTTCTTTTCATGATGTATATATGACCTCCAAGTCATTACTTCAACATTTTCAATGATTTTAATATCTGGCCAGTAGTATTGCTCTACATTCCATTCTTTGCCATTATCCTAGGGGATTTAGAAATATTGACAATCTGATAGCTTGACCATAAAAATCCTGACTTTCCTCAACTCCAAACAAATGCAATCCATTTCATTTCAGTCATAAATTAATGTGTTCACATTCTCTTAAACTTTACTATTTCTTGGCTAGAACTGGAGTTCTATCTTCTGAATACAAACTCCAAAACTTCTAATTGTCCCTTTCTCTCATTCATATTAAACTTTTTCTATGCTGTTGACCTTCAGTCCATGATAGCCTTTGTGGCCTGTTCTCCATTCTATTAATGAATCTGCCATGACTTGTGTTACCCAGGCTTGACTAGGTATAGCTTTTGACATGGCCAACAACATCGTACAAAATACCCTTTCCTCTCTTGACTTCAGAGACACCACACTCTTCTAGTTATTTGTTTTCTAGTAAATGTTCCTTCTCTAGCTTCTTATCCTTTTCAGATCCCTTAACAAGGAATGTTTATATTTATCAGGGTCTGTCATCAAGTTTCTACTTTCTCAATTCTTTCTTGAAAATGTTTTTCATCCAGTGGGTTCATCTACCACCTATTTAAAGATGCCCCTTGAATCTTTATTTCCAGTTCGTACTTCTTCTGATCTCCAGATTTGTATTTCAACTCAATGTCTAAAGCTGCAGCTATTATTTTTTTCTCTAAATCTGTTCCTTCTTTTACCTTCACAATTTCTGTATGTGGTATCACCTTTCATCTGGTCTCCCAACTTTGTAACCTTCGGTTATCTTTGAATCTTCCCTATACCCGATCTCATATATACTCGGTTACTAGGTCCCATCGATTTCATCTCCACAACTATTCTCCAGTCCACTGTAATTCTCCTATTATGGGCCTTCAGTGGCACCCACCAGAACAACTGCAGAAGACTCGTAACAGTCCTCTAAGCCTCCACGCCAGTATGAAGATACCGTTGGCAGAATTATCTAAACAAAGATCTGGTTAGATATATTTCTCAAAAACCTTTATTGACTTGCTATCACCTCTCCCCAGTAAAACTCAAAATCCTTGGTCTGTTTACTTGAGGCCCTCTATTTTCACTACTCAGTTGTTCTCTCATATTTCTTCAATTTCCCACTTTCTATACTTTAGCCAAACTGGACAATTTTAAGCTCACCAAACATACGCTACACTCTCACATCACCATGTTTTTTGCTCAGCTATGCCTTATATCTGGATATCCTCCCAAAGCTCACTCAAATGCCTTCTCCCCTAGGAAGACTTCTCTGAATTCCTCTAAATAGGCTAATAACTTTTTTCTCAAAGCTCAGATAGCATTTTATTTTATAATTCCACTGATAAAACTGTCATGCTATACTGTTTACTATAGCTATGTATGTTGATGTTGTATTCATTTACTTGACAGTAAGCCTATAGATGATAAAAACTTTATATTTCTTCCAGTACCTAGAAGAAAAGTCATATACATATATCAGGCACTTAATTAAATGTTTTCTGTACTTTATCCCGTTTGAATTTCATCTATAAAAAGAGTACCTTACCATCTACCCCACAGAACTGTTGTAATAATAAAAAAGAAATGACATAAAAGCTTTGTAAAATTAAAAACACTAAAATATAAAGTGGCGTTAGTGTTATTAGTAAAAGTACATCTTACTTTAAGCAGTATATGCATTCGTAAAGAGTTATATGCAATCTGAAAGTCAATATTTTAAAGTTATGATTCCTGATACATTTTAAGGAATGTTATGGTGAATCTTTTGTAAAGTAAAGACTTTTAGAAAGCAAATATCTATTGACAATTCTTTGGAAAGGAGGAAGAGAAGTAAATTTGAATTTTCTCATATTATATACTTATTTGCTTAAAGTAATACAACTATAATACATTTTTACATATAGAGGGAATGTTCCCACTGCCTACTAGTCATTTTTTGTGGTATTTTCTATACTGGAATCAAAATAACTAACTTCAAGTCAAGCCTCCTCCTTCCTCTACTCCCAAATGATTTCAAGCTTCTCACACCATTTTTAGTTTAAAAATAAACAAATTTGTTTTTGATTTGGAATATGGTAAAAAATATTAATTAACATCTTATATGACAAAGTGAAAACTTGACCTTCCTGACAGTGTGAACAATGACCCTAACTATGGTATTGTCTGTCTGTCTATTTCTCAGGTCTCAGAGTTAATTTTACTTAAATGGATGCAGTTCTGTCTACCACCAGAATTTGCAAACCTACATCATGTAAGCAGTCTCTGAGCCTAACATTCACAATGCTTAAAAAGGGGGAATAGGTATGGCATTATATTTTTTGCAACTTTACTTCTATACATCCAATTCTAAGAAAGAACAAATTAATTTTCAATGTTCTATTCCTTATCCAATCTCCAATGTTTCCACTTCTCCTTCCTTTCTAAAGCAAAGCATACTTATAGTAATAGAAGCAAAGTTACCACCTAGAAAAAAAATTAACATTCAAGTTCTTTAAAAAAAAAAAACACTCCAATTTAATTCTTATCCTCCACTAAGTCCTACTCTAATGCTTCATCATATTGTGGAACTGATGCTGAATTATCAAAAGCTTTACCAGTACAGAGAGAGGTCTACAAGATTCTATGCATGCTACAGGAGTCTCATGTACAGTCCTAATGGCAGATTGAGTCTGTCCTCAGAGGACCAACATAG